CCTAACGACCCGATTCGTACATGTGCCCTACAAATTTCTGACAACGATTAGGTAGGTGAGCGCCACTGTTTACTTGATGAGTACAAAGAATATTTGCCAGTGTTATTAGTATACAAGTGCTATGCGTGTTTAAATTGGCAGGCTATGTACCTCTATTAATCTAGCGCTTCGAAGGGCAACATGATATGAAAGTAATCGGCTAAAGTAACAGCGCACGGCATGTTAGTGATCAGTTTCGGTTTCAGATTCACGCAGCGATGAGCTTGCTAAGCCATGTTGCCCCATGCTCGTTCCGCGCTTGTAACCTCTGCATTCGTAGTCAGTAATTGTCTAAAGTAGCATAATTCGTAGTCTTGTGTTGCTCAATTTTAAATTCAGTGCTTGAGAATAGGCGACTTAATTGTAGCGAGCAAACGCTAGCTGCACACTTTCCCGTGGTGGTCGAGTGACCGATGAGTCGCCCCACTCGCTCGACTTTAAAAGCCTCTAAATTCAATATTAACAGTTATGTAAAAAAAAAAAAAAAAAAGGTTTGGGGTGCAATTAGACAAAACAAAACTAGCATAGGTGAGTTTTTCTTTTATTTTTATTTACTGCATTCGAAGAACATATACACCCTTATCAAATTAATTTAGATCTTTCAGTTTTCTGTTGAGAAAAAAAAAATGCAGGTACTTTTCAAGCATGGGGACACTTCATATAAGAAGTGTGTTAAGCTCAAAATATTAGGGCATGACAAGCAAAACTATACTGTATATATATACAGGGTGTCCTTTTTATTATTTACAGATTTGTTTAAAAAAAAAGCCTTGAAAGTTACACTTATGCTGTTTGTGCGAGTGAGTTATACGGCCTGGTGGACATTACATAGGTGGCTAATATTTGTGATAAGTCGACAAATTAATTAAAAAACGTTAATTAACTTTTTAATTAGTGAAAATAGACACATAGTTCCTGTTTTAAACTTAATGAGGGCCATCGAGAACCCCTAAATCAACTCTTTATAGAACGACTTATCGCGAAGATTAGCTACCCACAGAGTGTACCCCTGGCCGTATAACACTCTCTCACAAACCGCATAAGTGTAGCTATCATGACTTTTAAAAAAAAAAAATCTGAAAAAAACAAAAACAAAAAAAAACTTGTATATAAAGTTGCTTTAATGGAGACAGTGTTCAGGTGGCCATTGTTTCTATTCTTTTATTTTCAAAGCCTGATATACAATTTTATATTTAAAACATTTTCCTTTAAAAAATAATTAAACCTTTAGAAACAACCTTGTAGGTACTTCTGAATCCTAGTTGAAATGGAAATCTGAAAAGGAGTCTTTTTCCAGCACTGCTCTATCAAACTATAATAATTATAGGTTGATAGCCGCGGTGTACGAAACAAGAGGAAGAGCCACTAGCGTCAAGTGGTTTATTCGGCAAGTGTGACCGTACCAAGAACACGGAGCTTCGTGCTCCTACCACTTTTATAGCTAATCAGCGGCCGTCGCGATAATGACGTCATAGCGGGCTTAGCATGACACCGCACTTTCTGAAGCCAAAAAAAAAAACCGTGCAGCCTTCTTATTGGCACCTTTAGATATGAAACAAAGCACTAAACTTACATAAACAAAAAAAAGAACATTTACCACCCCCCCCCCCTCCTACAAATAATGCTATTGTTATCTATGTTTTACGCATATATAAAATGATCAAATCATGCAACCCTGCGGTTATTTCGCCACTCTAAAAAAAATATCTGAAAATATGTACAACACAAAAAGGGATACGATTTACACCAAACAAGATACAGGGCCATAGAACCAAAGTTTCAACAATAATGGTACCAGTTTCAGCCTCTAGCAGCGCTTAGCTGCACCCTTCCCGAGTCAGTTTGCCGACCGGCAGCGTCTGCGAAAGATCTTGTGGAAAGATGTGAATTTTTTTCCCCAAGCTCTTCAAAATCATTCATCGATTTTCTTCAATATCTGATTTAAAGGACCTTTCGAATTCCTAAAACAATTTCCTTTGAAGACTTCTTTCATATGGTCGAACAAAACAAGTCACACGGGGCGGGGTTCTGAAAATGCGGGAGGTGGAGAAGTGGTGTTCATACAATTTTTGCTCAAAAATTGTTGCACTGACAGGGCAGAGTGTGCTGGGGCATTGTCGTGATGGGACTGCAATTCCCCCTTTCCCTCACGTCAGGCACGTAGCCAGGGTGAGGGGGGGAGGGGGGACATGGTGCCCCGGGCCCCCCCAAAATCTTTCACTTTGCTGGGAACTCCTCTACCCCCGCCCCCTCATGAAGCATTTTGTCATGGGCGGGCCCCCCTGAAACAAAATCCTGGCTATGTGCCTGCCTCACGTCGGGGCATTTCTGCGTTATCTAGTTTCGGAAGTGTCGCCAAATTCCCGCGTAAAACACCTGAGTAACAAATCCACCAAGGGGAACAAACTCGGACTGAACAATGCCCCAGTGTTTCGATGTTGTCATCGGTTCAGAAGGTTGAGGGTCGCCCTGAACGAGGTTGGTCGTCGATCAATAATTCACCAGCGAGAAAACCACTCGTAGACTTACGATTTCTTATTAGCATCTTCTTTGTAAGTTTTCTTATGCGTTACAACAGTTTCCGCTGCCGGTTTCATTAACAGAAAACAAGATTTCACGGCTGCAATATGTTCCTTCATATCAGGAATTGAAAAAAAAAAAAACAAGGAATGATTTTGAAGCGCTTAAAAAATTATTTATAGCAGACAATTCATGTCGTAAAACTCGCTCGGAAGGAACGCTGCTAGTGGTGGAAGCTTCAACTACCAACTGCCCACCCTCAGAAATTCATTTCGGTTACTTTTGCATCCCCCCTCATATGATTCACTGCGCCAAAAGCTTTCGATATATGCCATGTTAAAAAAAAAAAAAAAAGATTGCAAGCAGTCAATGAGGTTCATTAGACATTATGCGGAACTTTTTGGTGGTCTGACAACACTAAGAGCGCCACAATTTTAATGTTGGCAAGCGTTCTCGGTACCGATCGAAGCACGGTGGAGGCATTGGAGATAACTGTATGGGCAGTGCACGATGGTGCTGCAGCTGTGTTTTCCGCCTTCCGAACATGAAATGTCAACGAACAGTATAAGCAACCTACCGCAACAGTTTCTGACGAAACTCTCGCAGGCCTGTGCTGGCGGGCGACAACCTCGTCGAAGTAGTGGAGCAAGTCCTACGCCTTCGCTGTGGAAGTTTGGCTTTAAACACCACGGGTTATCGCCAGCGTGCGCACAGGCCTCCGGGAGTTTCGTCAGACAGCTGCAGTACGTTGTTAGACCAGTCATGCGCCTCTTTGTCACATCCTCACGCTCCCGGCATTACCCACGCGCGAAGAGCTGGGTCACGTGATGAAAGGGAAGTGGGTGATTGGTCTGGCAAGCAATAAAATATATTACTTCAAATTACATCAGCTTATTCAAGAAGTGAAGCTATAGCTAATCCCAAAGAATGTTAGCTTGGAACATACACCGAGAAAACATATGTGGAAAAAACCTAAAGTAAGAACCAATTATGGCAAGCAACAATTGGATTATTAATTGTTCTCCTTGTTGAACAAAATTGAAAGAAAAGGTAGACTTTTAGTGTTCCTGTCCGATTTTCAAGAGGAATAATAAAGAACTCCTGGTGGAGAGTGATATCGTTTATGAATGAGGAACAAAATGTGAAAAAAAATTCGTTTTGATGCAACTAGTATTCTTTTCTCAATCGTGCTAAACGTGGTACATGTGTTTATTATGAATTTGTTTGGTTGTGCATGTGCATTTGCAGATGTCCTATTTTGGGCTGTACTGCAAAGGGACGTAGATGCCTTGTCAAGCTGAAATGACAGCTTTTTCTCTACCTCCCTTCCACCCCTTCGTTTTAGAGGAATAAAAAAATATATCAAAAAGCAGTAAAATAAAAAGTTATCTATACTCCGTTGCAACCTAAGAACGAAGGGGAGGGTAAGAAGAGCCTGGGAGGAGGAAGCAGACAGAACGCCGGAGAAGAGAGGTGGAAACCTCCTTCTCTCTTTAGCGTTCCGTCTGCTTCCTCAGGTGCGTTAATGATCGCACCCGAGAGCACGCTGCCTCTACAAGAACGACGCCTTCGGGGCACCTTGCAATTCATTGCAATGGATGCTCTTGCACCCCGGCCTTCAATGACACCAAGATTTTGGCTAGATACAAAGATAAAGTGTCGCGGGAATTACACGAGGCGTATGCAATTAGGACCAGAGACAAGAATTGTATAAGTGACACGTCGGTATCTTTATCTACAAATGAGTTTGAATTTTTGAAACGCGGGCTGAGTGAATAGAAAAGAAAAGAATTTTTTTTTTTTTTTGTGTGTGTGTGTGTGTGTGTATGGCTATATAACGTGTGAATGTTTCAATAAACATCAGTTGAGAGTGCGCCTTGTCCTGTTTCCCTTCGTCTGTGTCCCTGTATTTTTTCGGCGCTTTTTTGCTTGCTTCCTCCTCCCCGGCCCGTCTTACCCTTGCCCTTCGTTCCTAGGTTGCAACGGACTATACATCCGAAGCCCTATTTTTTACCGCATCTGCATGTGCATCTACAGATGTCCTCTTTTTCGCTGCACTGTAAAGGGATCGTAGAATCCTTGTCAAGCTGAAATGGAAGCTTTTTTCTCTCCCTCCCTTTCTCCCCCTCTTTGGAGAGAAATAAAAAATATCAAGAAGCGGGTAAAAGAAAAAAAGCTATCTACGTCGCAAGCCCACATTTTTACTGCATCCGCATGTGCATTTGCAGATGTCCTCTTTCGCGCTGTACTGGACAGGGAGGTAACGTCCTTGTCAAGCTGAAATGGCAGCTTTTTTTTTTTTTTTTACCTCCATCCTCCCCTTGTTTAGAGAGAAATAAAAAAATAATCAAGAAGCAGTAAAAAAAATATATATTTATCTACATCGCAAGCCTACATTTTTTACCACAGAAATCCGACCTTGCAGGAATTTAAGCTTGGTCATGTTGGGAAGCGTGGAATCTCAAAAGCTTATTGCTCATTTCAAAAAAACCTTCGTAGGCAAGTCTTATGCGGCCCGGAAGAAAGGGCCGGGTAATATTTTTCACCAAGAAGAACTTCACCGCATCTTTCAATCAGGTAAGCTGTGCTCAGCGTTCTAAAGACTGAGCTTCCTGTGTTATATATCTGCGTCTCCGGAGTTAACATATCAATCAAAAACCGAGCGGTTAGAGCATATGAGCTGAAATAAATTTCCTACACAGCATAAGCATGAGATCTCTCCTCGATTTAGGAAAGCCTAAGATTTGGAACGCAGGGGTGGTTGTCGGCTGTGCTGTCCCATACTTCGATTTTATCCGACCAACCGCACAACTCCTGGCATTCCCCTGAAAGATCTCATCTGCAAAATTTTAATTTCTACTCACTGTATTGAAGCAACGTGATATTCCCGAGGATAGTATTATCGTTCGTGAGACTCGTAGGACATACCAAAATAAAATGTTACTCTTTAATAAATACTAATGATTCCTTGGTAACGTTACGCATTGATCCCAATTATTAGCCCCTGTAATGTCACCATTCCCATGCACATTTTAGCATTGAGGTCAAACGACTGTAACGGATGAGGCTAAAACAGAACTCATCTCCATGTTGGTTATGCTTTCAAAGCGAATGGTCTTGATAGCGCGATAACTTTGTGCAAAGCGTTACGTTCTACACGCACCAAGCATTTTCACATTCCTTTAATCCCGTAAAGAAGACGTTGTTTTTTAACGAACGAGTTTTTTTACCACACTGTTTATTCTTTGTTTAACATTGTATAACGAGCTTGACATCCTGTGTTCTACACGCTAAATACAGGTAGAGAAACCATGTTAAGGAGCGTGTAAAACGCACGTAATGTTGATAGTTTTTAGCAGACGCATGATCAATCGTTAATTGAGTCGACAAACCTTTGTAATTACGACTGCCAGCTGCAAAAGCATTACGATCATTTGGTAGCGGTATCTGGAATGCTCGACAATCGTCGTATGGTGTGTGACCTTTCTTTTAGATTCTAAAGGCTAACATCGAAAATACTGCTAGGATTATAACTGCTTATTTCGAACTCAAGTGCAAGAGGTGAAATGTGGCTATCGCAACAGACTCTTACGTAACGTATTACGGGCAACGTGTTACTCCTACCTAGTTACTTTTTTGTTAACGAAGTAGTGACCTAGTTGCCTTTTAAGGAAAGGAATGAGTAAATCACTTCTGTTTCCTTTATTGAGGTAACAAGTAGGCAACGGCATTTAGTTACTTCTGGAGGGCAACCTCGTTATCACCCACCTCGCTCCTGTAGTTTGAATGGCAAGGGAACGATAGATAGACCGCAGAAAGATGTCCACCATGTATGTCGCTTTAGCCACGTGAGTGAAAGTGTTAAAATTAAGGAATTATTAACGAGGACACAGCTACTGCTTCATAAAAAATGACAGATTCGAAGTGGCGAGAAAATACCACTTTACACACAAGTTGAAGTAAAGCGTTCCGTTTTATTCGCGTCAATTAGTAATTTATTTAGTTACTTTTTAAGGGAGTAGCGAGTAACGGTTTCCAGTTACTTTATTTCAGTCACGTGTGCATGCGTGACTCGCAGTTACCCCTTCAAAGTAAAATACTCACTATAAAAGTGCCCATGTCGTGTTCGCGTGGAAAGTGTCGAGCGGTTATTGCGCGAGATTGTTAGTTCAAACGCATAATCGATTTTTGGGTTAGTGCCCTCCGTGAGCACTAACCTACCAGCAAGCCAGGAGGTTTACGCCACTCTTCATATTTAAAGAGAAGAACAAAAACAAATCATCTCTTCTTCGCATCAGTGTTGCGCCTTTTATAGAGTTTTCTAGTCGATATATTATGAAGTAGAAATGGAACTTCTAGTTACTGTTTCTTAGCCCTCTAGACAAGTTGTTGGCTATAGGGATCGATAGAAAGGGGCAAAATTGGTTAATTGTTTGGCGAATTCAATAAACCCTGTTGCAATACCTATATTGGTCCAAGAAAGCTATTGGTCCAATAAACGCACACGATTAAATAACATCATATGAGTATATACGAAAATAATTTAAGAGTATGTAAGAAGTTATAAGAAACTGGTCCCAAGTTTTTTGTAACGTCATGTGTAATATTTTATCATTACTATTTTTATAATGTTCTTAATGCTCCTATATGATCTTATCTAATCATATATGTTTTTTGGATCAAATATTTATTATAGGCACAAGAAATTTCACCCGTTAAATGTTTCTTCTTTCTTTATTTTCAATTTTGAGTGATATAATGTGTATGTGGAATTGACGCTGGAGCTCAATACCGTGAAAGTTTGATGAAAATATTGTAGTGCATGCTAATTGACGAGAAATGTCGCCCATGTACACGGTTTCAAACCGAAATTTAGGGTAAAATGGTGCCGTTATCACAGCCGCCAGAGGGTGGAGGGATACATCACATATCGCACTTTGCCGGCTTTGACTCCAATCTAAGCCATGCGCAAGGGTGACACTTCCCGTCCCGTAACACCTACTGATTATTTTTTTTTCAAATCAGTATTTCATGACAGGGTTCAGACCGCATCCCGGTCTACCTTTAAATCTCTAAATAAAATATTCGCTGTAAGGCAAAAAAAAAAACAAAAAGACAGACGTTTACAACTCCCTGTAACGCCGATTTAGAGCGCAGCTCTTGGGGAGGAGGAGGGAAGGGTACCGAGGGGTGGTATACCCCTTCTCATCAGTACCCTCTTCTCCCTCTTTCACACGCGAAACGCGTGTCGTCACCCGAAGTTTCGGCGTGGTGCCGAAACGTCACATGACGTTTCGGTGAAGTCACGCGACGTTTCGGCACCGTGCGGAAACTTCACCGTGCCGAAACCTCACCGTGCCGGAACGTCACTCACGACGTTTCGGCACCGTGACGTATCGGTGGAAATCACATGCGGAAGCTTCACCCGTGACGTTTCGGCACCGTGCGGAAACTTCACCGTGCCGAAACCTCACCGTGCCGGAACGTCACTCGCGACGTTTCGGCACCGTGACGTATCGGTGGAAATCACATGCGGAAGCTTCACCCGTGTCGTTTCGGCACGGTGCGGAAACGTCACCGTGCCGAAATGTCGCGTGACGTTTCGGCGCGGTAAATTATGGGACGTTTCTCACAATGCACCGCGCGGTTACGCCGACGCCGACGCCGATGGCGACGCCGCTCAAGCCAGAAACGGGCGATTAAGAGCTGCGCTCTAAAAAAGACGAGTAATTAAAACGTTTTCGCTAGTTCGCTAAATAAAAGCTGAAATACACCAGACGGAAACAAGATAATCTTTTTGTGATCATTCACGCTCCGTTCAAACGCAGATTCTTTAAAATAACCAAAGTTCCCCATGTCACGTCAGCGATAGCTCTCGTCAAAACGATAGGAGCGGAAACCTGTTTTCTTAAATGAATTTGGATTGCGCGAAGTGTCCAGTGTCTGTCCTGAAGAAGAGAATGAATATGAAGATTCAGGAATCATAACCGCAAAATAGAGGGAGCATTTTTCAAACAATTCTTAAGAAATGTTAAATCGGTGTGTGTTCAGAAGAAAGCTGGAGCAAAAAGTAACTCTCATGTGCCTTCCACAGATTTGGCTCAGGGCAAGACTCTCCTGGAGGTGGGCGTCGGACCGTTGGTCTGGTATTCTTTCATGTCCTCTAATCGATTCAACGACATTGTGCTCAGTGACTTGGTCGAAGACAACAGGAAGGAGCTGGAGAAGTGGCTGAACAAATGCGAAGATGCCATCGATTGGACATACCGTGCCGAGCAAGTCGCTGCCTTAGAAGGCTATAGGTACATACATCAGCACAAAAAAAAAAAAGACACGAATGTTTGGGGGTATTAATATTTCTTACTTCGGGTAGAATAATGGAACACAAGAACGAGCACTTGGGCTAAGGAGCCAGAATTACGTCCGCCATGAAGTCTAAAGAAGAAAACTCTTGATGAGCATTTAATTTTAGAGAAAACGTTCTAGGGTTATTTTCCATGTCTAACGATATAAAACCTGACGAAACTACGGTCTCCCATTGTGGTTCCACCGGGCTTCTTTAGAAAAACAGTTTGTGCCTCTCCAGGAATCGCACTACGAACCTGAGGCTCTGTTGTCTGAAACTCTTCACCTGACCGATTGAGCGAATAGGATGAGTGTGGTCACAGCTGTTTGTTTTCGCAAGACGATATGTTGTTCCAGCGTAGGCAGGTGTTTTGTGGGGTCACGTTATCACGTAAGTATACCAGAGGCTACGAGAGCAAATATTCAATAGAGGTTATGATATAGCATAGACTATATTTACGTGACGCCTCGTGACATGAATTCATTATGTCGCATACCATAGTGTCATTTAAACTGATCACGTAAGGGTATTTTGCATTATCACATGACGTCATGTGGTCACGGTTGCACAAATAACGTGACAACGTGGCCCATAGTAACGGATGGCGTAAAAAATCACGCCACTTAGGTAGCATTGCGCGAAACGCCTTGGCTGTCTTTAAGAGCAGCTGGGGTGGCTCGTGATTGGTCAGTCGCAAAACATTTATCTCACCATAATACTTCGGAAAAAGCCGACTGAAGAAAAAAGCGCCGCATCTTTCTGTCGATATCCCTAACAAAAAGGTCCTAAAAATTAAACTTGCAAAACTTGTGAAGCAGTTTCAAACAAACTCAAACAGCTTGACTCGGAACACATTAAGCATTCTGTGTCAATCAGATTAAAGCGAAGTATTAAGGTGAATCATATTTTTCTCATCGTAAAATTCCTTATTAACTTAATATTTAACCGAACAGGTTTGTCCAGAGGGTTGATTGTGGCTCACAAATAAAACGTGATCACTCGGTGACTTGATCGCTAGCACTTGGTAAATCTACATCCATCGACGAATAATCGAGTTGCGTCCAACTTGTGAAGTGACAGATGGCTTCCAACGCTAACAATATCTGGAGCACGCTTCAGATATTGGCTAACTCCGGTGCGCAGTTGGGACAAACATTGGCGACACCACCCTGAGAAAAACAGCTATATTTCTTTTCTGTCCAACAATTGTATTACTCGACTCTTCGTTGTTGCGGCGAACATGCGGGGTGAATGTAAAAGCGGTCGCGTGTCTCATGTATTGACGATACCATCGGTTGTGTCTGAACAGTGTGTAGAAATTTTGAGTATAAACCTTTTGTATTCCTTTTAATGGTTTTCTCATTAAGTAATTTGTTTTCACATTGGGAGAATCTTTGACCTGGGATCTAAGATTGTCTTTAATGTACCATGTAAAATATTTTTCTACGTACAAGCATTTCTTCCGTGAGCGTAATGCAAAGGACTTCCGTGCAGCTAACTCATCAGAAGAAGTATGCAACCATCAGCTCAATAGTTGTCTTCGCCACCGAGAATACACTGGTTGTTAAATTCCCAATAATATTCCTTACTAAGCCATAATTATGTATCAGTTGAATTTCTTCGAACAAAATTTTAATTTATGTTAATTATGACGACGGTGCAGGCTGAGTTTGAATCACTTTATGGTAGTTTCCAAGCTATATAGTTAAATATGTTCGCCCCTGCAGTATAATCGTATTTTGCCCTAAATGAAGCGGCCATATGTGCCAAGCAAGACTTCTAGGAAACTCTCGGAGACGTCTAGTGACAATATTCATGCTCAAGAAACCTTTAAAAGATCCCCTTCAATTTTCTCTCCTTCCCGTTTCGATATAAATGAGCATCGCACCGGCGTGTGGTAGGTTATCATAACTGCGTGATGCACGGGAAAGGCCTCAGGCTAGCCGTGGTACATTACTCGCGAAATTTTTCATATACAGACCATCAGAAACCGATTGAGGATTACTGGCCTCAAGGTGTCTAAACAAAAACGCAGTATTATTATTATTAAAAAAATTATCTTGAGCCCAGAGATTTTCAATATGTCCTCAAGCATCATGTGAGGCATCGCAGCAAAATACAGGTTAATGGCATCTTCCTTGTTCTGCTTTACAGCGACGTCAAGAAGGGGGCGTCCGAAATAATGGAGCGCACGCGTTCCTCCATCCGGAAGGTGGTTCCCTGCAATGTCCTGGAACCTGGAGTGCTCCCCGAAGAACACAAAGAAACCTTCGACGTCGTTCTTTCCTGCAACTGCCTGGAAAGTGCCACGGCGGACCACGAATCCTTCCGAAGTGTGGTTAACAACGTCGGATCACTTGTCAAACCCGGCGGCTTGTTCCTCCTGGGCGGTATGAGTAGTGTGAAGAGTTTCTTTCCGAAAAATATCGGCGTTAATGCGGAGGACCTCAGCGAGGATCTGATTAAAGGAGCAGTGACTAATGCCGGGTTTCAATTAAAAGTATACCGCACCAAAAACATTGAGATTGCTGGGAACCCAGGTGCATTCTCTTTTATTCTAGCGGCCCGTAAGTCTTAAGTCGGTTTAGGGTGACATGCGTTACTCTGTGCGGCGTAGTTCCGTTCACAGCTGCTACGCACCCCTCCCTACCACAACGCGCGATCAAACAGAAATAAATGTTTAATTATTCCCCGCCAGAAAGCGAAATGGGCTGAAATCGGATCAATCTGGACGTCGTTGATGAGAGCAACAACTCGTAGACAAGTCTGCCCTTCTGGAGTGTTAGCAGACACTGGGCTGGTTTGATTTACCTGCACAAGCATTCACCTGTGCAAAAAAAAGTGCAGCCGAGTTGACTAAATAACAGAGCAACGTACTTTCGTTTGTGTTTTGAGACAGGCTGCACCTCTAAATTGAATACGGCAGCGCGCGCCGAGTGCAGCTGGTGGAGGAGGCGCATGTAAATCGAAGGCCCACTGGCACATTTGCAGTTTGGGTACGAATATCAAAATTATACCAAGTTAAGAAACAAAAAAAAAAAGAACGTTATGCTTATTTTGAAACAAAGATATCGTATAGTAATCAAGTGTCACTTTGTAAATAAGCAAGTTTTTTTCTCACACTTTCTTTTTCTGCGCACCATTTCACCAAGGGCTTTGCAGTTTTTCAGCACTCCAGTCAACGAAAAAGCACATACATCTTAAGTTTGACTTGAGCATGTTATACTCCAGATAGAACCATTAAATGTTTGTACTGTAATGAGTTTCATGTGTGATTATATTACTTCTTTCAAAAATATATTTAATAAAAAGTAGTTATAATGTTCAATGTGCACTGAGGATGTTTCTGAAATCGCCTAAATATGGTGAAAACTCACTCTGCGAGGTCTAAGCATCCTAGAAATTCATAAATCGTAACGACGCGCGGCCAATTTCCTTATTAAAAAAAGCGAGACATATTCACAGTTCTTTGTAATGCCAAATTAGAGCGCAGCTCTTGAGAAGGAGGAGGGGAGTGTACGGAGGAAAGGGTATGCTCCTCCACCCCCTCCGTACCCTCCCCTCCTCCTCTCCTGCTCCCCTTCCATTTAGCGGGAAATTTTCGCTAAATTTCCCGCTAAATTAAATAGAAATTCTTTCCCGACTCAATTCCTCCGCTTTGTGGCAGATGCTTGAGAGGCCTCGATGTCTCCTTGCGCCTTCTAAATGCAACCAAACATTCCCGGGGAGTCGTCATCGTGGATCGGGGGCTGATTGCACCACACGAATTTTCGAAATCACTTCACAGACTAAGTCATCTCGCAAATTCGGCGGCCCGTTTTTGTGTGATCTCAGGTTGACTTTGCGGCAACGCATGTTTCCCACGAGCAGCAGTTGATCCAGAGCAGAGTTCTGGATCAACCCGAATTAACGGATTACCTTAAAAGACGTCGTTTTCGGTGACGCAGCCTGCAAATCTGCAAAGGATCGCTACAAAATCCGCTCCCGCCGAAATCGGTAAATTCAACAGGAGGCCGACCGGGGCGCGCACGTGACTTGTTGTCTCCCTAACGGGAAGGGTTGCACCAGGAAAGATAAAACTTCGAGACAGCTAGCGCCCAAGGGCGCGGCTGATGCTGGCTGATTGCAAAGGAATATACGTATTAAGTATAAGTTCGACTGGCCATGTGAAGAGTTCATTAAAATAAGGCCAAGTATATCTATCACCATGCGAATTTCCCATTGCAGGCGATTGGTATAAAATTGATATCCGAACCGCCCGAAAGCTTTTCGTAAAATGTCTTCACAAAAGATATATAAAAAAAAAAAAAAAACGGCATTTCCGTGTGTGCTTAAGGGCACCACGCTGCCGCAAATGTGATGAGCAAGGTTGTCCTAATAAATAAGTTGTCACAAATGTCAGCATTGTTAAGCTTGTCGAAGCTTGTTATTTTAGGCAACATGAATCAAAGTATTTCTAATACAACTGACACTAATCTAATGAACTAAGAAATGTAAACGCGATGTGAAGGGAAATATTTTGCCCAGCCAGAGACGACAATCTAGTGGTTCTCCTAAGGGTAAAGCAGGTTTTAAACGGGAATTCTTGGATGCGCAGGCAGTACCGCGAGATTAAAAAGGAATATGAGGCTGCTAACTCCTGTGCCTGTGCTAAAGGTGGAAATTTTAGTTCCATCTACGAAAACAAAATGTACTCTAGAACGTGGGAACAAAGCTATAAACACTCGGTTAGTGACGCTTCAGCGTGGTAAATGACAGAAGAGGGCAACCTATAGCTATCATTCAGGCGGCTGTGAGTACCTGTCAATACATTTTCCCTCGGAAAAAAAGTTCAGTAATAAATCTTGTCATTTGATGTTTAGGGAGCGAGAGTTTAGTCTGCCAGTTTTTGGCAACATGGTTACACGCCGTAGATGAGAAATTTTGACAGTGTAGTACGACTACTCGGTTGGGGCATTTAACGTGCATCACACTGTTGTAATTTACAACCACAAGTTTTTCTTGTGAAGAGATCACAACACTGAAGAAGAGCGCCACTGATTTGAGAAAAAGGGTAGAACTGCCGCCAATTTCTAAGCCTGCAAAGATTTGTATTGTTTGCTGATGTAATTTAGGCTTCGAGAAGCTGAGACGGAGCCTCCACTCTTCTCTAATGGAAAAGGAGATCATCCTCCAGTAGTGACGAAAGGATATCAGACGCCCAGGAAACACTAAACAGAGATCAGCACGATATATGTCGAACGTCAAACTTGAGTGAGCGCCGGCACTAAAACTGTTGAAGTATTCACCGACAAAAGTGTATGTCAGCAAGCCTGGCAGTCATGTGCGAGTTGAGTTCCGGGCTCAGGGACAAAGAGTAACAGTCGCTTATGCAGAAGATGACATTCTCTGCTGCAGGCTGCCTGAGTGTCTTCCGTAGATTAAAAAAAAGAACATACACAAAACGAGGAGACGAACGCAAACAAATTTGAAGCGTGATTTTGCCAACTCATCTCCTGGGCCGAACTGAGACCAGACTTGTACCGTACGCATTACAAGTAATCAAATTACTAGTAATCGATTACTTTTTCGAGTAATTTTGTAATCAGTTGATTACGTTTATTAGGCAGTAATCACAAGAGTAATCTGATTACTTTTTGGAGTAATAAAATTACTTGTAACCGTTACAATTTGTCCACGGGTCCCCCCCCCCCTCCCCCCCCCCCGGGCACACGCCTTTTTTTGATGGAATGACAAAAATAAAATTTGCTTTTTTTTTTCAATCGGAAAAAAGAAAGATTTCTGCGGAGCTGTAGGAAACGAGGTCAATCTCTTTATATAGAAACGAGGTCAATCTCTTTATATACAGTTTCTGTGGAATGTCCTTTTTTTTTTTTTTTCGAGCTGGGACTGGGAGTGGGAAGCCCCAGGAAAGCCACAGTGCGTGACAAAGGCCATTCAGGGTGAAGTTTGAGGAAGCAGAATGTAGCTTTGTGAGTCCTTCGTTCAAGCTAGACCCCTCACGCACACACACACAGAAACAAAAAAATTAAAAAAATCCTGCTTAGGGTACCTACTCGCAGTCCGTAGGAGAACCAGAACCGAAGAATGCCTAAAGCGGATGCAAAATATAACAAAGGCAGTTGAAATATTTCCCCATTTCCCCTACGTGGTCTTTGTGACAAGCAATGTTTCGAGTTGAGAAGTCGTCGGGGCGATCTCTTCCGCTAATGGATACTACACATGATCCGTTTTAAATCCTGGAGCTGCTGCTCTATTGTATAACATGCGAGCTCATCCACATGTGAATAATAAAATGAGCGACGCAAACTTTGAGCGACAACCCTTGCTCAAGCTTCACAAGATCTAGAACCCCCTCCGCTCCCCCCCCCCCCCCCCCCCCCCCCACTGGCGAACGCCCAAATCATTAAACGTCTTCAAACGAATTCTATGCTTGTGTCCGCATTGTGAAGGCGCAACGACCACGAAGAGGGAACCCGTTTTTCTTCGTCAATACTTGTGCAAATGTGAAATATAGGTTGGAAGTAGTTCATTGTTATGAGCGCTAAGGATGTGTCTTCACACAATAAAGTAATCGGAAAAGTAACGATTACTTCTTTAAGTAATGTCCAATTACTTTTGCCGTCGAGTAATCAAGTAATCTAATCGAATACTTTTTAGCCAAGAGTAATAGTAATTGTAATCGATTACTTTTTTTTAAGTAACGTGTACAAGACTGACTGAGACCAACGGCGAAATTGTTATCAACAATGGTGTAAGCGCCACGCCACAACCAAAGCTCTGAATGTGACGGTATAACCGCAACATGGAAGACTTATTTTCAGCGGTGGCTTTTTTCCATTAGCATTTCCTTCTTAGCTCATTTCCGGCAAACTCTATAGTGCGACAATGCTACAATGAAGAAAGAGGACCTGCTCGGCATTGTTGCAACGGTCAGTGATCTGTACTTGCAACACACACAAAGTTAATGTCATCGGTGAGGGCACCGGCCACTGTGTGCCGAGGTTTCCACAGTAAGAAGTTGAGCTGAATATCACGGGAGTTATTGTGCCCCAAGTGAAGCACGAGGTCACCTTAAAGTACACTACATTCAGACCAATCATGTTGAGAGACTCTTTAAGGAATCGATGAAAAATTGTGCAATCAAATAATTGTGTGGCTTTGTAGAACACGTGAACCAGTTTGAAACAAATTTTGAAGATAAACAGCGACTCTGAACATCGAATTGGCAATGCCAAGACGTTCTTTAAGCCTTTTAATAAAATGCTCATTCTTTTCATGCACAATTGATCTAGCCTGATTATATACAGCTAATAGCAGATGTTTTAATGCCTCATATCCAAACTTTTATACTTGGTCTCATCCCACGATGGACTAAAGGCCAAAGCCGCGGGCCGCCACATCCCCACCATTCCTGGACACGGTCTCCTTGCGCCCTCTCTTGGCTATTCTCAGAAAAACGCAGTAAAATGATAATTTCAGCCAAACTGCTGCAGAAATTCTTAAGTTTTCCGGGATATCTATAGAGGGCACTAATACACTCTTATTTAATACCTCTTATACCTCG